ACACACAAAAATTGCACCAACTTAATTTAAATCTGTTTGCAAACAAATCTACTTAAACCCAAGCAAACCCTTTTTGAACATTCTTATATTGGTTTAAACCTCACTTGCCCCTGTAATTAGCAGGCACAAGCTAAATTGAAACAAGTCAGGCTAAAACATGTTTAAAGGTTTAGGAGCTTTTGCTGATTCTGTATTGCTTCTGGTACCTTCAGTTTTTGACCAAGGAGTAGATTAGCTTTTGACATTCCACAACCTTGTGTGTAAACATTCACTGCAATTTAAACCTGCCTTGTATTGGTTTAGCATGCTCTTGTGATTTAGGGCTTATGTACATGCTGAATGGAACAAAAAATATCCATTATTTTGGTTTAAATCTGTGCGGATACTCTTATTCTGGTATAAAATGCCTTTATATTCATTAGTTAAGTTGATAAAGGGTCAATGTTAACTAAATGAAAAGCATTTTATACCGAAATGAGTGTGCCACTCTTTCATGATTTCTCTGTCCTCCACCCCCACACAGAATGCCCAACTCCTTTCTCTCTTTCTTCACTTCCTTTCCCTCAGTACTGTTGAAAGTTGCACCTGCCCAGCAGCACTGTGTTTGAAAGTGCCATCAGTTTTAAAACTGCTACTGTTGCTGAAGATGTTGGGAAGGCACTATTGTGCACACATGCAGGAATAAATGCAACAATTGGTATTCCTGAAGGATATTCCCACTGAGAAGATGCAAGAAGGCGTGCTTAACCTAACATACAGATTAGTGGTCCAGTGGAGAAAGCATCCTAGTAATCCATAATGGATTGCCATCATGTAACTGGATCATCCTACTGTAATACTATCTGAGACATTTAATAAACAAACTGCACACTGTAAATTACTTCACATTAAGTCAGCTGCACTGCAGCCTGGTAGGCATACACTTTAGAACCATAATTTCATTCATCTCCATCTTTAATTTACCTTATTGTGCTTCTGTCATTGCAGGCTCTTAGCTGCCAAATAGTATGTATCCATTTCCTTAATTCTTATTGCACAGAAGCCAAGTTAAGGACAGTGTCAGATTTAACTCTGAATTTCCCTGCTTTTTGTGGGTAAAAGTCAAACACCCAATGTGATGTAAACATCAGTTTATTGTACACTATATTGTATTTGGCTCCAGGGATCCATTCTACACAGATGCCAATTTTCAAAGGCTAGTTTGAAAGCCCAACACAACTAACCAGACCTCTGTTATTGGCCTGCAGTAGTTATTTGGATGCTGATAAGTTAGTTGACCTTCACTTTTTAAAAAATGAATTCAGTCTGCTGATGTAGTCCCTGATCCCACAACATGCCAAGGCACCCTCAACTCCCTTTGACCTCAGGGGAGCTGAGGTAGTCTCAATACTGCATAAGATCACATCCTGTAAAACCACTGCACTGAGCAATTGTAGGCCTTTTCTTTGTTCCTTTGTTTTAGTCATTTAACAGTTTCTTTTCTTTAACTAAAGATTAGCCACTGAGATCTGAAACCACAAGCTGTCAAATTTAGTGTCAGGTATCCATGAAGGTAACACAAATGCCAGCTCCAAGCTAAGGCTCTATCAACACTTCAGATTTCCAAGGATTAGCCCATTCCATGGTAAAGTAACATTTTAGCGGTTCCTGCTAGCTCTTGCTTTAGCTCAATTTCTGTCAGCATTTCCAGTTTGTAAATCTCCATTTTAATCAGTGCTGCAAAAACTCACTCTGGAGTAAAATTTAATCTAAATAACTCACTGGCCTGGGAGCAGTGTGTCTCCCCCCTCCTCCCCCGTTCCTCCACCATCGTGCTATGATTGAAATCGGTGGGAATTAAGTTTCAGATGTCTTTTGGGCTTAGAAATGGTTTCAATTTTAAAACATGAATTTGAGGAATTGATTCATAACTTTGGCTATTTTAAACATTTTGACATAAATTAAACAGAAAGTTGGCCAGGGTATTGGAGTTTATCAAGTGGATGATGTCTATCCTTCCCTTCTCCCACCCACAGGGCACCATGTGGCTACCATAGACCTCTTGTCTGACATCTGTCTCCCCAACTCCTACCCCAACTCACCCTACTCCTGTCCAATAATGTGTTTGGAATCCACATGGCACAAGGTGTGAAGACTTTCTTTGTTGATTCCAAAAATCCTGCTTCCACTTTAGCAGCAGAATTGCACCCATTTTGCTGCATCTATGGAACTCCCCCCATTTGTGGTGTGGGGCAGGGTTTGCCCCATATCCGATTTGCATTCACAAAAAAGGCAGTTCCTATATGGGTCTGAAAACATCCATAAAACACCCCCCCAGGCTGCTGAGATATCACAAGGTTCTTTAAATAGTGGCTGATCTTACATGACACACTACCGTGCTGCAACACATGGGGGTCATTGTCTAGTAGGAGGGCTCAGCTCTCACCCAGGACACATTTCTAGACAGCACATCTTGAAGAAAAGCTACCATCTATGCAAATGTTTCTGGGCTGAATCAATTTGAGAACTTTACGCAGAACTTCCTCCATTCTGTTGGTTTAAAGGCAGATGATTACCAGTATCTGAATACAGTCTTTTGTGGCTTGTGTTAGCAAAGGGTGGATGCAGTTGGGATTCTCACGTCTGCAGTGGAAAAAGTCTCGCTTAGTCAGAGATATCCAGGGAGGTAAAAGTACAATATCAGTTTGCAGCAAAGGCCACATTTTTCCTGCAGGTTTCCAAGGAATAGTCTGCTTAAGCTAATTAATTAATGTGGAAATCATCCCCACTAAGCATTTCCTTACACTTCCATTTTTCCATTTCCAAGAACTGTGCACCTTGCTACTCATGTCATTTCCGGAATTACAACAACATACTGTTTTGTGATTGCTTTTTTTTCTTGATGGACATTTAAATTGTTGTAATTTATTATTTATTATTATTGTTGTGGTTATTTTGTACACATCTCCTAAAAGGAAATAGCCACCTGACAAAAATACCTAAGCAACTTAAAAGCAGTAAGTTGTTTTTAATTGAAATTTAGTTACTGTATTGCAACATCCAAAATAACATTGACATTCCTAACAATTGACATCCTAAGTGACAACACAGAGGATCAGCTGGCTATGGTGCTTTTATTAAACTGAATTTGACAAGCTATTTAAGAAAGTGTGGTTATGATCAGAAATGGCACTTGCATACTTCAGTGACAGGTGATTTTGAAATACAGTATATCCGACAAATGTAATCCTGTAAAAATGGCACCTAGTTATTTTTCTTTCCTGGGCCTTATGATTGTTCTGTATCACATTTGCTCTGTTTACTGACCTACTCACCATGCTGTAGCTTCAGAAAAATAAACTGCAGTCCCAGTCCTGCAATTGGATCCATGTGGGTAGATTGCAGTTTATATCCCATTTAATACTGGATGAACCTCAAAAGGTCAGGAGTTTGGGTTCATTTTGGCTAAACATAAGCATTCAAAATATCAGATGCTTCATCAAACAATCCAGACCCCTAAGGAGTGCAAAACTGGGCTGGATATTGTGTAGGAAGCGACTGCCTCAAACAATTTCCAAAACACCCTGTTTCCAATCACGCATAGAGTAAAGCAAGAACAGTGTTTCCTCTGAGTACGTCAGTACTTTTGCTTCAATTTCCAGCTAGAACCAGGGAAACAGAAGTGCGCCCCAAAAATAAATAAATAAATAAAGTCAGCCAAACTTTTTCAAGTTTTGCTTTGAATTTTACATGACAATTGAGAAGCTTCTTATATTTCAGTCCCATTCACCTATGCTCTATCCTCAAAATTACATCCCTGAAAAGTCAGACAGTAGCATCACTAACCTTCAACACCATATAACGCAAGAAAACAGTTTTTCACTCTCTTTACTTTATATTGTATTTTAATGATTCTTCTTTTATTGCATAACCAGAATAATAATAGTGCTAAAATATACTCTCAGCAAACTGCTTTTGCCATTATCAAAAATGTCTTTGTCAAACTTCAACATTTCATCACTTGCAAAAACTAATTCATTGGCTCATCTGTTATTCACATTACCCCTTAATTTTAGTGTATTTAACCATATAAGTAACATAGTAGTCTGTCTAATGAACTTGGACTAACAAAATTAGACATATATATTCCAAGCTCTAAATATTTTGGATTTTAATATATGAGCCCAAAAGATGTTTCTTTTACTACCTCTCACTTACTATTCTCTCTGATTTTCTTAAATTAAGACAAAGAAAATTCACATAAAACCCGCAAAACACATATGTTTACTGGAGAGTTGAAATCTACCTCCCAGTCCAGGGTTAGCAGCCCAGCCTGTCTGTGCCATGTGCATGAGATACTGGGGCCACTGGATTTTAAGGCATAGTGGATCTATAGCCCTCCTCTGGCTCACCCCCATCCTATCTCACTGCATCCTTATGCACTGGACCACGTGGGGCTGGCACAGAGACCCTTTCAACAGTGTCCAGCCCACCACTAGTGTGACCCCTCTGCAGGGTTTAAGTGCTGAGAATGACCTTGCCTGGCCCTCTGCACTACAGGTGAACTTCACCGAAAGGGAAGAAGGGTGGGTTTGTGGTTAAGGCATTGAACCAGGGGACACAAATTAGGAGGTGCTCAAATACCACACGGATACAGGTCACACAAAGTTCCTAGACAGACAGGAATTTTCCATTACTTACCTGAACAAAAGCAAACCTCCAATCTTTTATATAAAACTACCAACACTAACAAGCACACTCTGCCGAACTTTGCTCTCTGTTATACTTGTGCAACCCCACTGAAGTCAAGGGGGCTACATAGGTACAAGTGACAAGAGACTTTGGCCTGTTGTTTAAGTCTTGTCACATGGAAAAGCATCTATAATCTTCAAAGGGATTTCAGTAAGTGTCGGGTACTAGCTTCTAGGGACGAGATTTAGCCCTATGTTAATATTAACAAACAAAAGGGAAGTAAAAATCCTCATGCTCAAGTTAAATGCTATCAGACTTCAGACAAATAACTCAAGATACAATTTCCTGGGTTGCTGACACAGCAGGAAGGTTAGTGTGAATACAGAAAATGACTCCTCTCCCGAATTAGCTCTTTTTAACCATTTAGACGTTTTTACAGCAGGGAACAAACACACTTTTCTACTCATTCCTGTAAGTGCGCTGCAAAAGACTTTCTTTTGAGATTGATAATACTCTACTTTAGTTCACTAAGGCTGGTGCTCCACAGAGCTAATTCTAAGGGGAGACATATTTATATAGAGATCTGTATATGTGTGCACACACATGTGTGTATGCATAAATATAAAATAAATTTTGCTTAATTGCTTTTATATTGTTGTGTTTCTAGCTGAAGTGAGGTGTTTGTGTGTTCCTGTCATGTGTGGTATGTATTTGATGGTTCAAGGTTTCTAAGGACTATTCTATATTTGACTGGAGAACGTAATTGTGGGTAAAACTATCCCTAAAGTAAACACTTAATTCTGTGTTACATCTCTGAACTCGTCTCCAAGGCCTAACCTTAGAGTGTAATACCATGTGGTTTCAAATTCAGTCCTTAAACAACAAATTATTTATGTAAACTGTCAAACCCACACAATATAGGCAGCAGTACAAAAAGAAATTGAAGCAAGTATACCATAGTAAAAGCCATAAGACCATCATAACAAACTAGCCTTCCCTCGGCATGCAGTCCACTGAGAGTGAATTATTCATTACAATCCAACTAAACATCCCCCTAGCTCTGCCATTTTAGCCACAAGCTTGTGGGAAATTAAAGCACAGCATGAAGCCCCCAGAGAATTATTCTGAGTTGATAACACCTGCAGAGAACAGAGGTTTCACTATGTTGTGATTACCATGTAACTGCCCTCACATCAGCAAAAGTTATAATTGGGAGAAACTGAATATTTGCTCTGTGCTTAAGTGGTGAGGATTTTGTGTGGTTTCAATTCATGTTAAGTAGCAGAGCTATAACTGAGAATGTTTCACAGCAACAAGTTATTTGTTTTAACAGTAAGGTTTTTTCTTTACAAAGATTACTGTCCAACTGCTCTTGCATTTTTATGAAACACACAATTAGGAACCCCAGTTCATTTTAAGCAAAATTGCCTGTAGCTGGCCTGTAGCTATGAGAGGGTTTTGTTTTGTTTTTTGTTTTTGTAATTTCTTGTGAATTAAGAAATTGATTTATTTCTTGTCTAGCTTTGCCTCACATGAATTGCTAATGTCTGATTTTTGAATTTGTGTGTGTACATTATGTGTGTTTGACAGCTGGATGGACAGCCACTGGAAAACATTCCTAACCATAACCTTTGTTTCTTCACGATGTGTCAAAGTTGTTAGAAAGTGACATGAAAAAATTGAAATGTAGCTCCTAAATTAACCAATTTGGATATTAAAAATAAGCCAGAGAGAGAGAGAGGAGTCAAGTCATCTCAAGCTATTGTTTACCCTGTTAATTTTTCTTCCTTAGTGATTTTATTTTCCATAAGCACTGCCTCAGGTCTCAGATTGTGTTCACTGGAAAGTGGAGAATGACTAAAGCAAAGAGGAACTCTTCTAAGAGAGTCACATTTGGTTTCAGATATGTGCCTTTAGTATAATGCAACTTCCTTCAGTGAATTCCTGTTATATGCATCTTACATGAATAAAATAGTCCCAGTACCAAGGGGAAATATATAAGACAGGGAATTCATAACTGCATAAATGTATTAGACATAATATGCAGTGGCTTCTGCTGCTGCACACAACAACGAAACAGCTTAACCCATTCTGACTGTGCCACTGCTCAGGGCTAATATAACAGCAGCTCATTTCCTTGTATCAACACAGGACATATTACACAATAACTTGCCATACAAGGTTGAGCTTTTCAGTCGCAGATAATCCCACCTCCTTCTTGAGGGGCCATTGTGAAGTGTAATAAAGTAATGAATCCCAACTGATACACTCATCTTCCTTCCCCACAAGCCTTCTACGCATTCCCCTCTTCTGCTTTGTGGAAGAACACTGGAGTAACTAGGCCTCCATTAAAGTATTTACTATTAATATACCAAAGATAGGTTTGAGTTGCAAAATATGGATTTCAGTCCCCTGTCTCCTCCGCAAAGTATGTGGGTATTTGGCTCATGCTGGAGTTTAGTTCAGTCCTTTACAGAGATAGGAGAAAGTATGAAGTTTGGATCAGGATCCCGGGAGTGGGGGAGGGCTGGGGAATGAAACAGGTGGATTGTGTAAGTGAAAAATCAATCTGTCAACAACTGTCAGATTATCAGCTGAATCCCTACGCTCCAGATGCACTGCTTTGAGATTGGATTTTCCAGTGTATTTTTGTCCGGTGAACTATGCACCTGAAGTTCTGAACTGTGCTGTCAATTTATTTTAGAGCATTAGCTCCCTGAGGCAGTGACTTTATTATTATTAAGTAGTATCACAGTAGCACTTTGAGGTCCCAGCCAAGATCAGGGCCCCATTCTGCTAGGTGCTGTAAAGGAGACAATCTCTCTCCCTGAAGAATTTACAATCTAAATAGATGAAACAGGCAAAAGGTGGGACAAAAGAAGTATTATCCCCATTTCACAAATGGCAAAATGAGGCACAAAGAGATTAACTGCAAACCACAGTGGTGATGATCAACACATTTAAGAATAGCAAAAGAGGGCATCTAAAACCAAGGTCATGCTACTTGGCTTGTACCCTGCATTGTCAAACTGTCTGATGGACAAATGTCAAATGACTGTTTTTTTCAACATATCACACCAACAGAGAACTTATGTTAAAAAATAAAACAAAAAAAAATCTTGAGATAAAAGGGGAAGCATCCAAACCGTGGGGGCTAGATCTGAATCCAGACTCCCCTGACTTCAAAGGTCATTGGATCTGTTTTCTGGGTCTGATCCATCATATAGAGATGGGCCTGAGTCTAGAAATTTGGACCTAGACCAGGATGTGAACTTGCCCAAAGTGTGTGGAGGGCTTAAATATAGTGTTCTGGTTCAGGTCCATCTCTAACAAAGAAATATTTTTGGAGTTAAATTATTATGTGGAAAATAAAACACAAGAAAAAGGAAACTCTGTTTCCCTCCTAGGTTGTCCAGGGGCCAAGAAGAATGAGTTCCTGACCAGTGTTCTGGATGCACTCTCCACCGATATGGTCCACGCAGTCTCCGATCCATCATTGTCTTCCAGCAGGTGGGTTTCACTTGGGTGATTGGAAATGGATCTGTAGTGTGTGCCTTTAAAAAGAGTTCTGATTACATTTGGAAATTTAAAAACAAAACAAAACAAAACAAAACCTTTTAAAAAGCAATTTTATTTCTACCTCCATGAAGTGATAACAGATTCCATTAGAACTGTTAGGGAATGTCTCCTGCAAAAATATCATGGGTTGTATACACAAGGCAGAAACTTAAAGCCTTTGTTGTTGTTGTTTTGGTGTCTGAATTCTCACCAGCAGTACAGCATCAGGTCAATAAGTCACCCCAGTCCTAATTTTTGTTTTCTTACTAAAATTCTTTCCTGGGTGTCTGGCTGGTGAGTCTTGCCCACATGCTCAGGGTTTAGCTGATCGCCATATTTGGGGTCGGGAAGGCATTTTCCTCCAGGGCAGATTGGCAGAGGCCCTGGGGGTTTTTCACCTTCCTCTGCAGTGTGGGGCACCTGTCACTTGCTGGAAGATTCTCTGCACCTTAAAGTCTTTAAACCATGATTTGAGGATTTCAATGGCTCAGGCATAGGTTTGATACAGGAGTGGGTGGGTGAGATCCTGTGGCCTGTGTTGTGCAGGAGGTGAGACTAGATGATCATAATGGTCTCTTCTGACCTTAAAGTCTATGATTCTATGATTCACTTGAAGAAAGTGGGCTGTTTTCCTTTCAATTTTGCCTGGTTTCTTCTAAAAATGGATGTCTGCAGATAGAGTAGGCAGGATTTAAATGCCTAAGTACTAACAATCTTCAGGCTTCTGGGTACAAGCTGCTTACCTATCTGGAGTCAGGAACGAATTTATAGTATTGCACTATTGAAACACATTATGGGGATTTTATGCTTTCTTTTAAAATATCCATCATGGGTCACAGCTGGAGTCAAGATACTGGACTACACTGACTGTCTGATCCAGTAAGCCATTGTGTTTTGATGTTCTTCTCCTTTCCATGGTGGTATCCTTTACCCATTTATTTCTATCTTCAGATTTTCCTTTATCTGCTTTAGACTAAATTAATGGATTAGGATCATATTTTGCTCACCAAAGTCTCTTAAGTAAACTAACCAGTCATGAGATAAGAGGGAAGGTCCTCTCATGGATTGGTAATTGGTTAAAAGATAGGAAACAAAGGGTAGGAATAAATGGTCAGTTTTCATAATGGGAAGTGGTAAATGATTTAGAAATGAGGATTAACTGTGAAGTGGCAAAATTTGTATGCAATACAAAATTACTCAAGACAGTTAAGTCCAAAGCTCTTTATGACGAGTAACAAAGGGATCTCACAAAACTGGGTGACTGGGAAACAAAATGGCAGATGAAATTCAATATTGATAAGCGCAAAGTAATCCATGTTGGAACAAATAATCTCAACTGTAAATTAAAAAGTGATGTAATCTAAATTAGGTGTTACCACTCAAAAAAGAACTTGGAGTCGCTGTGAATAGTTCCCTGACAACAATGTGCAGTATCAAAAAGCTAACAGAAAGTTAGGAACCATTAGGAAAGGGATAGATTATGAAATAGAAAATATCATAATGCCACTATGTAAATCCATGGTATGCCCACACCTTGAATGCTGTGTGCGGTTCTGGTTATCCAACCTCACAAAAAGATACACCTCTACCCGATATAATGCTGTCCTTGGGAGCCAAAAAATCTTACCACGTTATAGGTGAAACCGCGTTATATCGAACTTGCTTTGATCCGCCGGAGCGCGCAGCCCCGCCCCCCGGAGCTCTGCTTTACTGCATTATATCCAAATTCGTGTTATATCGGGTCGCATTATATCGGGATAGAGGTGTATTAGAATTGGAAGAGGTACACAGAAGGGCAACACATATGATTAGGGGTATGGAACAGCTTCCATAGGAGAGGAGATTAAAAAGACTGGGACTGTTCATCTTAGAAGAGTGATCACTAAGGGGTGATATGATAGAGGTCTATAAAATCATGAATGGAGTGGAGAAAACGAATAGGAAGAGTTATTTACCCCTTCACGTAACACAAAAACTAGGGGTCACCCAATGTAATTATTAGGCAGAAGGTTTAAAACAAACATAAGGAAGTGTTTCTTCGGAGAATGCAGAGTCAACCTATGAAACTTGTTGCTAAGGGATGTTGTGAAGGCCAAAACTATAACTAGGTTAAAAAAGAAATTAGATAAGTTCATGGAGTATAGGTCCATCCATGGCTAGTAGCCAAGATGGTCAGGGATGCAACAGCATGCTCCTCTGGGTGCCCCTATACTTGTGATTGCCAGAAGCTGGGACTGGACTACAGGGGATGGATCACTTGACATTGCTCTGTTCTTTCTATTCCCTCTGAAGCATCCGGCACTAGCCACTGTCAGAGACAGGATACTGGGCTAGATGGACCATTGGTCTGATCCATCATGGCCGACTTATGTTATTGGTTATACCCTGGCTACCTCATTGACTTCAATGGAGTGTCCAAAAATGTAACTGAAAGCAGACTCTGACCTTCAGTCTAGAATTTAGCATTCAGCATATTGAAATAGCGATGAGAGTGGGAGATGCTAAAAGAATATACTGGTCAAAAGCAATAAGGTCAGTCAATTAAGCACCTCATTTGAATCTCTGCAATGGAAATTTTTAAATAAGCTATGGGAAGGAAAGCAATAACTTCCATTTCTCTGTGTAGAGTTTGTAAATGAGAAGTTTCAATTCATAAATCTTAGAAGTGGCTTTTATGCCAAGTGGAACACTGGTTCCTTTCTTTTAATACACTGTAATGTCCTGCCATCCATACATCTCATATATGTTTTTCAGCAGAGCAATCATGCTGTGACCATTCCTCTACTCTCTGGAAAAGACAGAGCTATTTCTAAGACACCATGGCTTCTAGCCTCTGGATTCCACAACACACACACTCAATATTTTTCTGTGGTAACCATGTGTCTTCTGTGATTGTATACTTAAATCATAACAGAGACAAGAATTATTAATTCCTGTACTTCCCCTTCTTTATGGCAGGAAGATATTTTAGCATCATCATTTTCCCCAGATAAACAGGAAATTATACATATTTGTCTTTATTCTCATCTGCCTGCCTGCATTTTCTTTCTGATGCTGGCTCCTGTCAGCATCCTTGAATCATGATTGGCTTTGTGTGTATCTGTGCGATGGTGCCCTCTAGTTGCTGCATCACAGAATATAAGGGACGTGCTATTGTTAGCCTCTATGGACAGTCTTCTTTAGTTTAGGTGGCAGAGACTTGGAATTTGCAGCAGAACCAGAATTCCAGTCTCAGCTCCCCAGTGGTAGGGATGTGAGATTTATAATGGTCATATATAAAATGTTTGCACCAATATGAACATTTTTACTGATTCACCATTTAAAAACTTTCAAACCACCAAAAAAATTTAAGTGTGATCACTGTATAATAATGGTATTCATTTGCAGCTCTTGTAAAACCTGGACTCCTCAGGACATCAAGAGTTAGTCACAAATGGTTTTTCAAGTCACCCTACCTCACTAAAATACCCTTATCTACTAATACTAATCTAATGATTCATAAGTAACATAAGAGGACTGTGTGATCAAATGTAAAGCTTAATGTTCTGTTCGCATTGCAGGCTTTCAGAACCTGATCCAAATCATACTCTGGAAGAGAGAGTGGTCCACTGGTATTTCAAACAACTTGATAAAAATTCCAGTGGCGATATTGGCAAAAAGGAAATCAAGCCATTCAAGAGATTCCTGCGAAAAAAGTCAAAGCCCAAAAAATGTGTGAAGAAGTTTGTAGAATACTGTGATGTGAACAATGACAAATCCTTATCAGTTCAAGAATTAATGGGTTGTCTGGGAGTAACAAAAGAAGAAGGTAAAGCAGACACAAAGAAACGCCACAGTAAGAACCTTTTCTAACTATCCTTTTAACTAGATTTTTTTGATCAGGCAGAGATTATGGTTATAGTTGATAGGCCACAGCCTCTGGGAATCCTGCAAAAGGTATAAAAATGGTGATGGCAACTATGACTAGCTAATAGAGGTTCTTTAGTTCAAGTGAAAGGGTTGGTGCTTTTGTATCAGATGGTCAACAGTTCAAGTCCCAACAAAGACAATAGCCTCTCTCTCTGATCACCAAATACTAACCTGTTGAAGTTATTATTGCATGATAGGAAGGCAAAGAGGGCAAGTTAGTACTAGATTCCGCTAGAAAGTCACTCCAGCGGAACAACATGTTCTGGCTACGACGAAGATACATTTGCTTGTTCTTTGGTGTCTTGCTATGGAAGGAAGCAAACTATTTCACTTTCTAGTAGCTTCTAGAGCACCACTGAATGGCTCTGAAGAAAGTATATCCATCCCTCCATTAAGCAGGCAGAATGGTTGCTGGTACACAGAGACTTTGAGAATCGATGGAGAGGGAGTCAAATAATTGAAGATCCTTGGAGCACTGAGGAAATCACCCACAGCTTCCCTGAGAATGCTGGAAAGTGGAAGAGAAAGTCTCTGTTTATACACTTGTTTTATATTATAAGAGGCTGTAATTATAATGTGAATGGAGAATAGCTGAACAGTTTGCTTAGTATTTTTAAGAACATAGAAGAGGGACCCCAGTCAAAGACCAGTAAACAAAGCTATCACAAGTGTGATAAGGAAAGAGAGGAACATGCTGATTGGGAAACTTCTGTCAAAAACAAATTGTTCCCCATACAGCTTTTATTCATGACCAGACATTGTAGGTCAGAGAAAATAGGGTAACAGTGGTAGATTGCAGTCATAAAGGAAACTGGGTATTAGCAGACAAATGGATTTCATAAAACATATCTAATCCAGTATATTTTCTGTGGGTTGAATAATAATAATACTAAGTACTTTTCACCTATACAGCAGATCTAAAAATCATTGAGCAAAGGTACAGAAGTATCATTATCTCCACCTTACAGAGATTAAAATAGAAAGTTAACAGCTTGGTTAAAGTCAACAGCACGGTTCTCATTTACACTAAGGCTGCTATACATTCCTCTGGCTGTGTACAAAGGTGCAAATGTAACAATTTATCCATTTACATCTACTTTAAGGTCCCATTGCACTACCAGGCAGTGCACAGAGGTCTTAGTTTAAATGAGGACCAGGCCCTAAGGCCAGGTCTCCATTACTGACCTATATCAATATAACTGTGTCATTCAGGGTGAAAAATCCACCCCCCTGGGTGATGTAGTTATACTGACCTAGCCCCGTGAAGACAGGTATGTCGGCAGGAGAGATTCTCCCATCGACATAGCTATTGCCTCTCGGGCAGATGAACTAACTAATTGACAGGAGAAGCTCTCCCAAGTGTAGGAGTGTCTTCACTAAAGTGCTACAGCTGCATCAGTGCAGCTGCGCCGCTGCAGTGCTGTATGTGAAGACAAGCCCTAAGTGATTTGACCAAGGACACGCAGCAAGTCAGCGACGGGACTTGGTCTAAAACCCAGTTTTCCTTACTCCTATGCTTTGCCCAATGGATAGCATAGTCTCCTATGCTCTGCCCAATGGATTTTGGTTGCTGGAAACTGCTGGTTTTCTGTCAAATCAAAAATGTCAAAGAAAATTTGACAAAAATAAAAAATAAAAAGCCACTGAATTTTTTTTTACGAGGCGATTCTTCTCTCACTTACTCCAGTGTAAAATGGGAATGACTTCACTGAAGACAGAGTTACACTGGTGTAAGAGAAGGGAATTAGGCCTGATGTGTACAGATGATTCCATAATCTTGAATGGGTGCTACACTTGCCACATGGACACCATTTCTTCTATCAACAGATATAAAACCAGAGGATCACAATTCCTACCTTGGTTCCCCTTGGCTCCAGCAGGAAGCAAGTTCCAGCAGCCATTTACAGGGTACATGTTTCTCCCCCCATTGCACCAGCTCACTCTGCTGGCCAGCATGTTAGGAGTCAAAACTAAGGTTCCATCTACTCTGTACCCCCCCTCCACCTACTCACTTCCAGTGGCAGGAGGAATTGAGACTCCATGAAGCCTGCTTTCCTCCCTGCATTCAGATTAGCAATCTGGATATATGTGTAAGCGGGGGAATGGTCCTGCTACTGTGGGGAACTTTCCTGGCTTCTGCACTACCCCGGTGAAGTGGGCTAGCAAAAGGATCTGAGTCCTTGCTCCCACTTCCTTTACCCAGAGGCCTCCCTGCCCTTGAGGACTCCCCTTCCATTCTCCTGTCTGGCAGAGTCCTTGTAAACCCCAACAAGGCTGGGCCCAGGATTCCTGGGGGACTCGACCACCAACCCTGCTGTGGTCACCCAGGACAGGGGCTAGGGTGTCCCCACTCCGGGGTACTTTCTCTGCACTAGGCACCTCCCTGACCCACTGATCATTTCATACAATTTAAAGCAAATACAAGTTGTTTAATTAACAATTAATTTTAAAAAAGAATAAGGAAAAATGGGAAAGGTTAAAGGAAAACACATCATCCCGCTCTGTGGCAGGGAACATCACAAACAGTGTCTCTGGAACGTCAGGGCAGTTCACAGTCTGTTCCTTGTAGGTCCCAGGCCTCCTTCTCAGGCCCTGGCTGTGCTGCAGAGACGCTGTAGGTTGGACACTTGCTCTGGCGGTGGCCACAAACTCTCAGGTTCTAGGTGGCAGGACCCTTTTTCCCAGCGTCGCCCCTGCCCAGTCGGGGTTATGATCCCCCTCCAAGTCTGGCCTGCAGAGCCTCTTGGCTGAGGCATCTTCCTGCGCTGGGCCCACTGCCCAGGGTCCCCCTCACTCTCCCCAGCTGCTCACCGCACCCAGCTCCGGACTGCTCCAGCCCCGGCTCCAGCTCCACACTGCCTCAGCCCGGCTGCTGCTGCTCCTCTGCCTTCAGCTCCCTGGGCTGCTTCTCTGGCCCCTCTGGCTCTGGTTGCTACAGCTCGCCTCCCAGGGCAGGTCTGCTCTCTCTGGGCTGTGCTCTGGCTTTGGGGCTGCAGCTCTGCGTCCAGCAACTTGGCTCGGGCCCCTGCTCTCTCCTTAGCTCGGCCCCACTCTGTTTGACTCAGGCCATTCCAGTTCACACAGAGGACGGGACCCCCCTGGCTTCCTGACTCCCTGATTAGCCTGCCCGCCCTGTCAATCAGGCTGATCTGGAGCATTGGCCTCTCCCCATTGTTCCTGGGGACTGTCAGGCTCCTGATTTGCCATCGACCCTTCCCCTTTTAGTGCTGGGAGCTTGCCAACCAAAACACCCCCACTGAATGTTAGTAAGGGGGCAACAGTCCCCTTACGTATGCTTCTGCATAGCCTCTTACGGGCAAGTGACAAAATTCCCCTTTATAAATTAAATCATAATGATCCCTGCTGGGTGATGGGGCAAACACTGTGGGGTAGTGTTTAAAAATAAAAGGAAACGCCTCCAGACAGCCATCCGTTTTCCATGTTCTTTGTTCTTGAGGGAGATTAGAATAAAATTCAGAGCAATAAATAAATGAGTTTGAGATGTCCAACATTAATTGAATAGATGACAACACTCACTAAACAAATGTCAGATATTTACTGGGAAGGAATCCAGTTATTCAGCTTTCAAGTCACTCCAATAAAGAGGCAGCTTTGTTATTAGGAGGGGAAAGAAGAAAATGCACTTTTTAGTGAGATGCTTGAAATGGAGGATCTCACTTATGAAAAAATATTGTTATTTTGCTCCTAAGAATGACATTTCATAATGGGGGCTTCCTGTTCTCTAGAATGCTCTTATTTTTGCCATAAGCAATACAAGTGAAAATATACTAGGCAAACCAAAGGGAAAACATTTTCATGTAACCTTATTGAACTAGCCTAATGGAAGTTCATTAATCTAATCTCCATATATCTGGAACTAAATGTAACCTTATCACTAATCATAGTATCACAGACAAGAGAAAAAGTCACCACATATGCTGTTGTTTAAAGAACACTAGATGACTTGTCCAAGGTCGCATGGAGTTGATCTAACAATGGGATTAGTAATCAGGTGTCCCCTGCTGCTGTCACCACATTGCCCCTCTGTCAAAGTCCATCTTAATAGAAAATTAGTGATCAAGTCTGTCTTGTAAGCAAAGCAACCATCTAGCCTCATGGAAAGTTTGTGATGCAGAGCATTTCATTAATGATTGCTCATTGCTTATAAATACCCAGAACCATGGCCCATTTCCAGCAGTTCCTATCAGTTAAAACCAATGATTCTACACAGGTTTTCTAGGGTCTCTGAGGAGATGCTGCCCTCCACCCCCTTTGTCTGTGTTACTGGGTATTTTCATAGTGCTGCCAGTTTAGATAAGACATTCCACTGCATTTTGGTTTCGCCAGTGGGCCCTGTTCTTGTATTCCAATTGTGCCATTGGAGTGGACAAGAAATGCAGATTTGGTCTAGATGCTTCAAAGGCAGCAAGCATCATGGATACAATATTTTACACTGTGGTGACTTTTCTTTGATCAAATTGACATTGCTGTACACTGTAGGCAGACGGCACAGAAAAATCTCCATTCCACTTCAGCTGCATTCTCCAGCCCTTATAGAGCAACCACTGCAATATTCTGCAGTAACGTGCAACACACTGCTGATTACAATATTACTGTCGTGGTTTTAACTGGAAAGCACATTAGGGTGTTATTTCTGTAATAGGGGAACATCGTTTATCCACTAACAATAAGAAAAATGTACTAGTATTGCACAGAAACAACATGCAAGCTGTTCTCATGACTTTTTTCCCCTCTCTTCTACCAGCCCCCAAAAATAATCCTGAAAGCACTTCCTCCAACAGGCAGGTAAGTACTGGACAGAGCCCTTTCCATACTGTATTTTTCAGTTATTATCGTTTCAGCCTTAAGGCTACACATACTAACCAGGGTCATCGGACACTGTGACCTGGGTGGAAGGATTCCCCATGGAACTGTTCAGCAAACAGCCTGTTTATTCAGACTGGTTGAAATTCTCACTTGTGCAGGGGGCCCACACAAAGCCTGTGCACCTCTTAACCCCCATGTAGGGCTCATCTTCACTAGTGCAAAGATGTGTTTTTAACCCACCTAGAGTAGCCCCAGCAGTTGTAGTTTTAACACATTTGCTGATTGAGGTAAACCTTAGTTGGCAATCTAGGGTTTACCTTGACTAGCTGACACATTAGAACTACAATTTTCCTTATCTTCAGTAGGATTATGACAAATGCCAAGAAAACTCTTTTTTCCTAGAGAAGACAAGACCGGTCAGGGTATTAATGGGGCCTAGGTTTCTATTGTTATTTATTAGAGTCAGTGTGCTTGGTGCTGTGCAGGACACAGTTATAGACTCCCTACCCAGGAGACATTACAGTCAAAACAAGACAGACATTGAACAGATAGGATGCACTGGGAAGGCCAGGGGAGGGAATTGAAGGTTGCTATTTTGACATGGATTTATATTTATACATAATTTTAAATTAACAATTCACTTTTGGAGGGCATCATGGATAGAGCTGCCAGTTACTTTTATATTCACCCACGAAAGCTTATGCTCCAATACTTCTGTTAGTCTATAAGGTGCCACAGGACTCTTTGTCACTTTTTATATCAGGCATACCATAAGACAGTTGCCATGTAACCATTTTTAATGTACACGAGACAGAAGCAGGTGATGAATTGGCTTTTAAATGACTAATGAAAATACATTATTTAAAGTAACAATCCAGGGGATTAAGCAGCAGCATTAAACCAGACAGAATGATCATAATTATGGTTAATTAAACACCACATCCTATCTATTGGAGAGCTAAATTTGTCAAAAAAACAACAAATATAGGGTGAAATTGCTATAGCATTTCCCAAAGCTAAGGCAAAGCTCTTTGATTGCTACTAGACAATTTATTTATTTATTTTATCTCCTGATTTGTTTAATGTTAGATGCACGCTTCCTAAGGCAAGCTCTGCATTTGTTGTGGGTTTTACCAGAACTCTCCTACACACGCCTTTGATGGAATGTAAAACGTTCTCACAGCTACAGAGATATAATAAATTTCCCTTAGTTTAAACAAATGTTCATAGTCTTAACTTTTCAAATCCTGCCCGCAAATCACTTACACTTTAAACAGGGCAGCCTGAAAACAATGACTATGGCGGAACTCAAAAAACGTTCAAAGGGTTATTTTAATTACATAATAGCAAATATTGGCACATGTGTGTAACGCTCAAAGCATAATGTGCCCCCCTCTTCCCTTTTCCTGTAATCTGATTCTAACATGTAGCATCTATAATGAAAGAGCCCTACTGTTTCTATTTTTTTTTAAATCTTTACATATTTTTGCTGACTCAGAATCCATTAATTTAAAAGCTATTGGAGAGAAATGATAGCCTTGAATCTTAAAAGGTTGGCTGTGCAAGCCATCTGTTGGCAGTCACACACTATAACAATGCAAAGCTACAAATGCCCCTCATATGCAAAAGGTGGCTTTCATCACAAAAGCTTGCACTTGAAAGGAAGCCATTGGAAATTAAAAAGAACAGGAGTACTTGTGGCACCTTAGAGACTAACAAATTTATTAGAGCATAAGCTTTCGTGGGCTACAACCC